TTTCCCTGTTTTGTTAGCAAATTGCTTGGCCCTGAAAACAGCCATAGCAATCTGCCATGTAATGTCCATTTCTTCCACGTCTTCAGTATGAATATGATCCAGGTCAGCAAATGACAGCTGAGGTGGAAGCTCTCCAGCTACAAAAGCATTGTAGCAGTTAACAAGCCCAGTGGCTAGAGCCAGATTTTCATCAGTGTCTTTAGTGTTTGAGGAAGAGGCTACAACAGGCACATTTGGAGAGGGAACAACTTGTGGAGTGACAAATGGCTAGCTTTGAGAATGAGAAATGGATGATGCAGCAGTGAAGGTCTGAATCTGAGGTTGTTGAGTAGCAAAAGCTTGACCTGAGGAAGACATGAATGATGAGAGAGCATTGTTGGATGAGATTCCAAGATTTGTAGTAGAGTACGAGTTCACATGGTTGATTTCTCTTTGTTTATCATCAATATCACAAGCTTTGATGATCGCCATGATTTCAGCAAGCGTGAGACGATTCAGATCCCTGGTCTTCTTAATCACAGCAACATTCATGTCCCATGATCTAGGAAGAGCATTCAGAAGCTTCTTGTTGATTCTGACTTGGTCAAGAAAATTCCAGATATGTTCATGTCAGTGGTGAGAGTTGTGAATCGCTGCAGCTGTGCCTCAAGAATCTCTCCAGGAACGTAGTTGAACAAATTGAACTTTTGTCGCAGCATGTCCTGGCGACTCTCCTTCATATCTTCATTTCCTTCATATACCTCAATTAGTGCTTCCCACAAATCTTTAGCGGAAGTATACTCTCGGAAGCCTTGAGCAATATCAGGAGATAGTGCCATGGTTAGAGTGGCTAGGGCCCTTTCCTGTTCTTCCACCTTTTCAAACTCTTCATCTGTGTAGTTTTCAACCGCTTTATCAATCACTTGACCTCCAACTGTCATAGTGATTCTAACAGGGCCTCTAAGAATGCTTCTCCAGACTTTGAAATCCTTCATTTTAATGTATTTTTCAATTCTGTATTTCCACTCAGGAAAACCATCTGCAGACATTAATCTAGGAATACGCGTAGTAGTGCCCATGACAGTATCAAGTTCGTAGAAATGAGTTTGACTTTGAGATTCCATTTTGTCTTTTTCTAGAAGGGACAACTCAACAGGAAGATCAAAAATTAGAAAAATTTTGAACCAAGAAAAATGAGTTTCACACTCCAACCGCACACGCTAACCGCACACGCTGACCGCACACACTTTGACCGTACACACTGACCGCACAAGCTGACCGCACACACTTTGACCGTACACACTGACCGCACAAGCTGACCGCACACACTTTGTCATCACAGACTAACCGCACACCCAAACGTACACTTGGCAGCACACTGGGCAGTACACCTAGCCTTTCACTTGGCAGCACTCGTTCAACCGTACTCCTTAACCGCACTCCTTCAAAATCTCAGCCTCACACCTTCAAAGTCTCAACCGCACACCCAAAAATACTAGATTTTTGAGTGAATTTTGGTTTCAAACTAGTAAAAACAGAGATTAGACGCAGTTTCTCGATACAAAATATAAGTGCACTTCAAAAACCACAACTATCTTCAACCGCACACTCTTATGATTCTTCAAATTGACACTGATTAGGCTCTGATACCAATTGTAAGTCCCTGATCTATAGATCCAAATCAGTGATCAATGAATTGCAAGCAATCAAACAGAGTGTAGAAGAAGTAGAAAGAGAATTAAGCCAAGCATGCACACATCTATTACACATAAATGTCAGGTACACCTTGGGAAACACATACATACGTCACTATTCAACTGACACAGACTCAGACTATTTATACCACATGAAACAGCACACAAGTGTGCAGCCGCACACACATGTACGGCCACACACAGCATGTGCGGCCGCACACACGTGTATGGCCACACACAAGTATGCAGCCGCACACACCCACTTAACAAACCACAACCACCACAACACACTCTAACATCCTACCAAGACCTATACATTAGAATGCCTAGCCCAAACCACAAAAGTATAGCCTGTCACAAAGGAACGGATCTTGTGATATAGGAATGGATCATGTAACAAAGAAACGAATCATGTGACAAAAGAACGGATCATCATGAAGGGGCAATTGTGATGCGCTATTAGGTAGTACGGTGCACCATTGGATAGCAAGGTGCACCACATGAGAAAGAGATGCGCCACTTTTGAAGGAGGATGCGCTACCTTGAAGCTAGATGTGTCATGATTAAGGAAGATGCGTCACCTTGGTACAAGGTGTGCCACTATAGTGTGTCATGGAGTACTCTGGAGTATTAATGTGTTGTTGAAGCATGTATGTGCCACTAATGATCATGATGCACCACTTGTGCATCACGATGTGCCATTAGGTGGCTTGATGTGCCACACGTGTTTCTGGTGTGCCATATGTGTTCCTGATCGATGGTATCCCTTGATGAGCCACTTATGTTGTGAAGTCCTCTATGATGCTCAAGATTGTTCAAGGTTGCTCATATGTTGAAGATGCTCAAGGATTATTGCTTGATGTGCCATAATGGTGGTTGATGATCCATGGTGATCTTGATGTGCCACTCTTGAATCATGATGAGCCACTATGGATCATGATGCTTCATCATGTGTGTTGTTGATACTCATTTAATGATGAATGTTCCCGAAGCTGATGCATGACAGATTGTGATTGGTTGACACCATTCATGGGCCTATGAGCCAATCGGCCCATTAGTGTTTTGGGTCTGATCCCTTCACTATAAATATGGATGTTTGTTAAGTCATTTGGTGTGTCTTTTGTATCCTTAGTGAGTAGGTCGAATATCTGTTGAGTTGTACTTGTAATCCCTGTTTGAGAACTCTGTAAATAAAGAATACTCCCCTCCTACCGTGGACGTAGGTCACCTTGACCGAACCACGTAAATATTGTGTCTTTGTGTGCTTTTGGTTCGTGTGTTTTCTGCATTACATCCTAAAAAGGGTCATCAGAACTTGGCAAGTGACATCAGATTTGTTATGATTCTTGACCAATATCGTTTGCTTTCCTAACAATCTAAATTACTATTTTACTTTTATTTTAATTCTTTGTTAGTTTTTTATTATTTATATAATAATAAACTAGCTATACTTCTAACCCCTAGTTTTCACCTCATCTATTCTAACTTTATGGCGCATCCAGATCACATCGACGACCTTCGTTACTTTCTTTGGCACCCTTTCCTTGTTTTTCCTCCTCACCAACGCATCTTTTCTTCACCTATGAGACCATTTGTATTCCCCTCAACCTATCCATTTTTTCATCAGGCCGCCGATATTGGTCTTATGTCGGCCGCGTAAGGCTGATTTGGAAGGGTACTCCATGCATACCCATTGCCGATTAACAATCGACTCCTTACTAACCACAGAAGAATGAATTTCATTGCGGTATCATAAATCACATATGGGGAGTAGATACCCGACCATTGCCAATTAATAACCGACTCCTTACTAAACTCGGGAGAATCAATCCCTTTGTGGTCGCATTTTTAGACACTACTTTGCTACGGGAAGACCATGACAGTAGAGTCTCATTCGTCCCATTACGGGTACTTGTTACATATGAATGCATTAGTAACATAAGACCCAATACCCAACTCACAAATATACATAGAACTATTAACAATTCCCCTATCCACAATACATATAAACATATAAACATCAAATGTTGAAGTATTTAATCAATTTTCATAAGTATTTTCATATGAGAAAAACTTGATTAACTATGTACTTGTTTACAATACTACATGTACTCATAAGTTAGCTTTGGGTTGTTCTCCTATTTACAATACTACCAGGTCTCCTCTTTACTATACATATAAGCATAATCATAAACAAACTCTAGTAAGAATATTTTAAAACATAATAATTACTTTATCAAGCCACGTATTGTTAGCTAAAAAATATCCATAAAATTCACCTTGTTAGTTAGTGAAAATTAGCTATCACTTTGGCCTTTAGTCTCTACTTGATGCACTTGATCAATATTCTTTGCCAAACCATATTCAAATAACATATCAAGCTCCTTAGAACTTGTCTTAAGCCATTAAGAGCTTAATTACAATCCGTTTTCACAATGATCATTCAATTGATCACCAAATTTTACATTACAAATTATTCTTTCAAAACTAATTAAGCTCCATGAATTTAGCTTATATATATGACTTAATTCATTTCCCTTAAGTCAATTCAAAGGTCTCATCACTTTCATCATTTAGGGTTAATAACCCTTAACACCAAAACTCAACAATTCATCCATGGAACTTTCAAACTAAGCTTGGAATCATAGATGAAACATTTACTACTTCATTATACTAAATATTCAAAGCATTTGAATCAATTATGCAAATTCATACAAAATTCACCATGGATGAATCATAGAAGCTAGCTAGAGAAATAAGGAGTTACTTTGATTCATTTAATTTTCTCCAAGCTTGCAGTCCCTGTACCTTTTCCCAAGAAATCTGACCTTATTCTTCAAAAATCATCGAAGCTTTGCTCTGAGTCGTTCATGGAAGAAATGACCTAAATGAACTTACTTTCAAACTTATCAACTTATCTATTTTCGGCGATTACACACCGTGTAATCCTCATGGACGTGTCACATTCGAGAAACATACATGTGTCGTGTTCCAGTTCTATAAAGTTTAAGCAACGTACATTTGACGCGTCATGCTTCACCTATTGAACACGTCACATTCACTTAAGTATAATGTTATTTTCAGTTATATCAATGATGCGTATCTGGATTTCGGCTCTTGATGATCCCGTAACGTCGGTGATGTAGAAGGTATGAATCCTAAGATAACAACACACAAGTGAGTTGTTCACCGAGAATGCTCCCGGGAGAACACTCCGATGATAAAGTCAGGCAAAGATAAAATGAATAGTAAATGTAAGTTCAAGTACTTTTTTCATACCTTTACCGACCTACCGAGGCTCTCTTTATATCAACTCATCTCAGGAACATGCGATCCGAAATGTATTGTGCAGACAAGGGTCTAATCCTCATAAATGCTCCCGTTGCCGAACGTATAAGAATGGTAACAAAGAGGAGTCACCAGTCATGTCAGTTTGTTAATGGAGAACCGTTAGTGGCCTTAAGTACTGTACGACCTGACCTTTGTTAGGATTATTAGTTGTATACTCGTTGCTTGTACATAACGCTTGTTCTCTTAACCTTACTTTATTTTCCTGTTTTAGTAGCCTCGGTAGGTATAGCTCCACGAATTATGTGTCGTCCCTCCGAATGTGGTTCGGAGGTACATGCCTCGACAAATCATGCCTTGGTGCTCCGAATGTAGTTTGGAGGTACATACCTCGGTAACCAAGTATATACCTCATTAAGCAACATATTTCACCGTCTTCGTCAAACAAAATTAAAGCATCATGCAATCGGCATTTCAACATACTTCATTTCTGATTTCGTTCCAGTTGTTACCAATTTTCCTTCTAATTTTAACTGAACATATCTTTCTCATCTTATATCCAATTTCTATAAACTTTATAGCCTCACGAAGGAAAATTCTTAACAACCCCATTAAGTCATTTATGACTTAATACACATGATGTTAAATCCATTAACTCACAAAGTAACTACCAAAATGTAAAATTTTACATTTTACCCTTGTGGTCTAAATATACAATTAGTGGCTTAAATCACTTACACTAACATAATAAGTCATCATAAAGATAACTTTTAACATATTTCAACTAATTCATAATACTAAATCTTTATAATCTCACCACTTTGATAAAAATGACCAAATTACGATTTTAATCAAACTATTCACATTCGTTTCAAATCTCTTACATTTTTTAGGAATGTTACATGTAGTTTATACCTTTTATTTTTAAGAAATTCAGTTTATATTTTCATGTTTTTAATATATTAGTTTTAACTATTAAATTTCTTAATAATGTAGATATTTTTTGTAATTATTAAAAATTATTATAACTTGATTTAATCACTTGAGATATAAAAAGTTTTATACACATTTATATGCTTTGGGATAAAATTTTGTTCTTTTTATCAATTTGCATCGGAGATGCTCTAGTAAAATATGCTCATTAAATATTAAATAAAACTATAAAAGAACATATTAGAATTATATAACCATTCATTGATTAAGTCGATGGTCTAAATTTCTAGTTTTTAAGAAATGTCCTCCAACTAAATATTTATATTTGAAAATTAAATACCCTTTATTTTTTCTTTATACATGTATTTATACTCATATAAAACAATGACATAAGGAATCCATTAATTCTCTATCTTAAGTTTTTATTTTTTTAGTTTTGACACTTTGCTTTGATCTAATGGTTATGAAGATTGGTAGGAATAAAAGATAAAAAAAATATTTGATTTCTTTTCATATTTGTCCTTCTGTTCACTGGATCACGATAACTGTTAAAATCAAATCATGTGATGATAGAAAAAAAATGGTTTAACAAGCATGTCAATTATTAAATAGGGTAGAGGTAGATGATGAAATATGAGAATAAAGTAGGGAGATTTTTTTTAATATAAATATGAAATTAAAAGAGTAGAAGTTTGAAAAAAAATGTTGTTCAAAAAACAAGATGTTTAGAAGTTTGAAAAAAATATTGTTCAAAAAACAAGATGTTTTACACGTTTTACAGGTGTGGATAGCATGACCCTTTCGTAATTGTCATTAACATATGAACAGACCAATGCAAATTGAGACAAGCGCGACCTTTAATACGAATTCATTCAGATCGGAACTTCTGAACTCTAACTAGGGTTTTCGTCCAAGTTTCTCCATTTCAATTTCATCAGATCATACTAAAAGGTAATAAGTCAACCCTAAATTTCGCTCTATCATTACATATCTTTGTTTTGATCTCTCCGTTTATTTTAAGCTCAATATGTTGCTCGAATCCGCTGATTTGATCAAATAATTGTTGGTATTCATCAATTCCACGAGTCAAACTCAAAGTTCGAACCTCTTCCGAACACCATTAATCGTTTTTTTTGGACTGCTGGTGTATGATTTGAAGCTTAAGTATTAACAGATCTATGTTTTGTTGAATCATCGATAGTTATGATTGTTTTCTTAAGGTTTTGTTCAAAATATGAATGATTCAAAGTTAAAATATGAGATCTGATCGCCTTAATTTACTAATGCAGATGGAACATCATCATATTGCAATTCCGATTCCAGTCACAGATCACCATCTCCCAGAACTGGAAATGGTAAAAGCTTCGAAGCTGAAAAAACTCTGTTGTGATCGTTGTTGCTATTTCTCCAAACAAGAACATAATGTTTCTGATTCAGAACAACTATCCAGATCTACAGCCAAGCTCTCTGGACTCATATTCTTTTACATAATCGTTATGGCAGTTGAGATTATCGGAGGTTTAAAATCAAATAGTTTAGCTGTTCTTTCAGATGCAGCTCATTTACTCACTGACATTGGTGGATTCTCAATCTCTCTGGTTTCTGTTTGGGCTTCAGTTGGGAAAGCAACTCCACATCAGTCATTTGGATTCAGTCGAATCGAGGTTTTGGGTGCTCTTTTATCTGTACAGATGATTTGGGTCATTTCTGGGTACTTGATCTCCGAAGCAATCAAAAGAATCGTTCATAAACAATCAGACGTGAATGGTGGGTTGATGTTTGCCATTTCAGCTTTTGGTTTTGTAATCAACTTCATCATGGTCATCTGGCTAGGTCATGACCATGCTCATGATCATGGTCATGGTCATGGACATGATCATGGGCATGATGTGAATAAAGAAGAGAGTTCAAATTTGGTGGAGTCAACTTCTAAAGGAAAGAGTGGGAGAATGAACATAAACATTGAAGGGGCATATTTACATGTGATATCGGATATGATTCAATCGATTGGAGTGATGATAGCTGGATTGGTGATATGGGTGAAACCAGATTGGTTAATCATTGATTTGGTTTGTACTTTGATCTCCTCTGTTTTTGCTCTAGCTACAACTCTACCAATGGCTAAAAACATAATTTCTATATTAATGGAGAGCACACCAAGTGAATTCGATGTTGTTGGTTTGAAAAAAGATTTAAACAGCATCAATGGAGTTGATGGTGTTCATGATCTACATGTGTGGGCAATCACAAGGGGAAAAATAGTATTATCTTGTCATGTAATAATCGAAACAAATATCGATTCGAATGAAATTCTTCACAAAGTTAAAGATTTATGTGAAGGTAGATACGGAGTTCATCATGTAACTGCACAAATTGAATCTTTATAATAATAATAATAATAACATATCCTTAAAACATACACTTTCACAATTCACAGTTTCACACTATTTCCTTTATGTAAATGAACAAGAAGCAAGAACTAAAAATACCGAATCTAGGCTCTCAAGATGAACAACAGCTCTTTGTGGTGGCAGATGAGGAGACAGAGTCACCGACATTAATGGTGGTCCCTTTTCCAGGTGCACCACCGACTGCTTCTTGGGTTGCTAATGCTTTTTTGCTAATGATGTGATAGATTTCAGTCAAAACAGTTTGAAATGCTTTCTCGATGTTATATGATTCAAGTGCTGATGTTTCGAGAAAAGAAAGGCCTTCTTTTTCTGCAAATGATTTGCCATCTTGCTCATCCACTGCTCGGAGATGCTCCAGATCGGATTTGTTTCCAGCCATCATGACAACAATATTGGCGTCGGCGTGGTTTCTCAGCTCAGTCAACCACCGCTGGACATTATCAAAAGTTGGCTTCTTAGTTATGTCGTACACAAGAAGAGCTCCAACTGCACCTCGATAATAAGCACTTGTAATCGCTCTGTACCTTTCCTGCCCTGCTGTGTCCCATATCTGTGCCTTTATTGTTTTTCCCTCAACCTGCGATCAAATCATGGATCCAACTTATAGCAAATACAGAAAATCTTATATAAGTTATAATGATTGTGTTTGTGATTGTAGATCTGCGAAAGAATTGAAACCTGGAGAGTTCTGGTAGCAAATTCGACGCCAATGGTGGCTTTGGACTCGAGGAAGAACTCGTTCCTGGTAAACCTCGACAAAATATTGGTTTTCCCGACGCCGGAGTCGCCAATTAAGACGATCTTGAGTAAGTAATCGTAATCATGATCTATCTTGCTAGCCATTAAACCTGAAGACAGAGAAAAAGATCGAAGTTGCTTCAGATCAGTTATCAGTATGCCGACGTAGATCTAGCTTAGCACATTATTTGATTTGGATTTGGATCAAAATCTAGAAATTGATTTTATATAGAATAGAAGTCGAGTGATAGAAGATGAATGCAGATTCTGCGTGTGAAAATCTTACAGTAGCGGAGAGATCGGGGAGAAAGCAGAAATGTGGATGTTATCACCTGGCAAAATTAACGGAGAAATGGGACAAAAAATAAGTGAAAGAAAGTAAGGAATTGGAAACAGCCGACAATAAATATCAAAATGTATGAAAACGATGCAAATCAGTCTGAAACTATATATAATTGGGCTTAGGCCCATGACCAAAGATCCCGGGAACTAATAGGCCGTGGACCACCAACTAAGCAACTATGACTCCCGTCGCCCGCCGCGCCAGTCGCCAGGTATAGTATTTAGACAGAGTTATGCAAGTTGTCATATGGTTAAAGGACAATGTTAGAAATTTCTACGTATTTGGCCCCTATGGTTTAATTTTTTTTTTTTTAACTTGGTTGGTCTTTTATTATATAAAAGAAAATTATTTTATTTTAGTTTAACATTTTTTATATATTGTTTATATTCTTCTAGATTAAAAGAAAAAATACTCTCTCTCTCTCTCTCTCTCTCTCTCTCTCTCTCTCTCTCTCTCTCTCTCTCTCTCTCTCTCTCTCTCTCTCTCTCTCTCTCATGCAAGAACAACAATCAAGAATACATACGAATAATGAAGTAACCAACATACTTGTTAACAAACAAATGATTTCCCCATGAATAATTGCATTCCACTAATTATATAATACAAACAAGTTAAAGGCTATGAATGTGGACTAACTATACATGAGACACACAATAAAAAAAAACTACAATATACATATGTAGAATACAATATATACAACTAACATCCCCCCGCAGTCAGAACGGGAGGTTAAAAGCAAACGTTCAGACTGAATTTGAAGTCAAGAATCAAAGTCGAAGGAACCCCTTTAGTGAAGATGTCAGCATACTGAGACGAAGATGAGACATGCAAGACATGAATCTGACCCATAACAACTTTGTCTCGCATAAAGTGAATATCGATCTCTATGTGTTTTGTGTGTTGATGTTGAACCGGATTGATGGACAAATAAAAGGCACTGACGTTATCATAGTACACAAGTGTAGCGGAAAAGAGTAGGTAGTGAAGCTCACGAAGCAAGTTATGCAACCATCACGTCTCAACAATCGTGTTTGCAACGCCCCAATACTCAACCTCAACATTGGACCTAGAGATAGTACCCTGTCTCTTAGAAGACCATGAGAGAAGGTTATGACCCATAAAAACATAGTAGTCAGAGTTGGAGCGACGATTAGAAGGGCATCCAGCTTAATCAGCATCAGAGTAGGCAATCAGACCACGAGACGAAGAAGCATATAATTGTAGGACGTAATCAACAGTACCACAAATATATCTCATAATGCAATTAAGAGCGGTGAAGTAAGGCTCTCAAGGATCATACATGTAAAGGTAGACCTATTGAACATCATATGTAATGTCAGGTCTTGTGAAAGTAAGGTACTGAAGAGCCCCTACAAGGCTCCTGTAGAGCGTCGGGTCAGTGACAGGAGGTCATGTGCCATCAAACTTAACTGAGGTGTCAGCCGGAGTGTGGGCAGGTTTGCAATAGAGCATCTTAGCCCGCTCAAGAATCTCGATGGCATACTTCTCTGATATAAGAACATGTCATGGCTGTCTCTAGTGTCTGCAATACCCAAAAAATAGTTCAGAGTGCCCCAGGTTAGTCATGGAAAACTCTGAACGAAGAATGGTGATGACCTGCTGCAGGAGATTAGAAGATGAAGCAGTAAAAACAATGGATAATTTCATATATACCCTTATTAAACGTTTAAATATCGTATTTGCCCAGCTTAAACTCTAAATATCATATTTTCCCTTTTTAATGTTTTAAAATATCGGATCTGCCCAAATTTATTTTATAAACATAATTTATTATTTAAGAATCCTTTTTTATATATTAAAATCAAGAAAAATAAAAAACATAACCAAATGGACCATAATACCCTTGCCTTCTAAATCATAGTAATCCATTACCTGGAGATTTAATTTCACGGTCGAGTAAATCACATAACCCTTATTGCTCTTATTTTTTTCACGCCTTTTGTCGGTTCTTTGCTGCAATCGAATAACCACTAAGTAATTTTATGTCTTGTATTTGTTAATTGATTATTCAATTCGTGATTGCAACTAGGGAATAGATAGCTTCAATTTCGTGAACAAATAGTATTTGCAATCGGCAATCAACAAATTATTTTAATGACTTTCTTTGAGAATTGAACATTATTTGATTTGAGAATGTGTGATTAAGGAAATGGCGACATGGAAAGAAGGATGATGGGAAGGTTAACATTGATGATGATCATGAGGAAGTTGCAATTGATACCTAATCATGTTGTTATGAGTTCCTGTCATTTTGGACGCCAAGGGCAATATTGTCCATCTGATTTTTATTTTAGTTTTAATGATTTCAGAATATAAAAAAAGAATTATTAAATGTTAAAAACTATTAAAAATATATATTTGGGCAAATTCGATATTATAAACGATTAAGAATGGCAAATACGATATTTACAGTTTAGCCTGGGTAAATACGATATTTAGACGTTTACTTAGGGCATATACGAAATTCTCCCTAAAAACGATATCATCGACATAGAGCAATAAATAGGAAATTCGAGCAGCTTGTTTGTAGATGAACAAAAAAGAAACAATTTGTTGTTAGTGAAACCGAAACCTATAAAAAATTAAGCAAACCGATGATACCACACTTGAGGTGCCTTCTTGAGTCCATATAAGGACTTCTAAAGTAAGTCAACATAATCCAGAAAGGATCTATCATGAAAACTCAAGATTAATGCATGTAGACAGTCTCCTGTAAGTGACCATGGAGAAATGCATTTTTCACATCCAACTGGTGAATCGACCAGTGGTGTGAAATAACCAAGCTGAATTAGTTGAGGATCGTCCGGATAGTAGCCGGTCTGACAACCGGGCGTAAAGTCTCGTCACAATCAATACTGGGTCGCTGACTATGACCATTAGCAACGAGACGTGCCTTATACCGAGCTAACAATCCATTTGCATTATGTTTATTTTTAAATAGCCAAATATAGATAACAACATTTGCAGTCAGGGGCTTAGGTATAAGCACCCAAGTCCTATTAGAAATAAGTGCATTAAAATTAACAAGACTTTTAGGGATTTCACCTGTGGCGACATTTCCAACATTTCTTACCTCTAGCGACATCTCATGTCATCTTCTCCAGCGAAACTTCTAAGATTAACAAGGTTTTTAAGGATCTCACCTGCGATCTTATTCTTTGATGCATCCAATAACTTCAAACATTCCCAATTTACACTAACATTAGATGGATAATCGATCTTCTTCCTTGTTTTTTATATCACAGGAAGTAATCAGATTGAACTTATGAAATTATTGTCACTAAAATCATGGATCATGGTAAGGGTAAATCGGGAAAACGGAAGATGGATTTCTAATCGAATGTGGGAGATGAATATGAAAAGCTGAACATATATGAAGATAAAATCATTTGTAGTTGTGTTCCTAAAATCGATTTCCTCTTTCAGATTTCGATTTTGATTCCAGATCTCGCTTTGAATTCGATTTCATCCTTCAGATTTTTATTTCCTCCTAAGCTGAACATGAACACACAAAAAATCAAGCTTCAAAACTCAATTTTTATAGTAACGATGGCAAATCTGAAATCAGATTTCATAAGAACATGCTCAAACAACTTGTGACATCCCCAATTTCACGGCCAGAAAAGACCGATTTGTTTATGCTTTATTTTAAAATCAGAGTATCATTTTGAAGAAATATGTTGCGGAATTTGTTCCCAAAAATAATTGATAAGTAATTTATCAAAGCATTTCCGACGAAATGAGTTTTCATTATATTAAAAACGCTAGGATGTCATTGTCAATACAGTACATAAGCATAAACAGAAATAGTACAAGCCTTACAACATCTATTATTCTAATGGCCTATAATCCATAGATCTCTCATCAGATCAACACTCATGTGCTTTTTTGCCACTACCTGTAATACAAGAAACTGAGTGGGTCAGGCTTGGAAGCTTGGTGAGCACACATGGTTTTCAACCCACAATAATTAAGTTGTTTAATTTCATCAAATCATTTAACCTTATTACTCGTTCCCGTTATCCTCACTTTCTGTCCCTAAAGCATCTATTTCAACTGACCTAGCCTAAGGATCATCATGTAACATCATTAAAAAAAAACCATGCCAAATTTAAACTTTTTAAAACATCTCAAAACCCATGATTATTACAAAACTTGTTTTCAAAATAGTATAATGTCAGAGTATCCCAGAATCAAATCATAAAATCATGAAATATGAGGAGTTGTACGATCACGCCTTCGCCTTCCCGCGATCATCAGAAGTACCTGAAACAATAATCGATAAATGTAAGCTCGAAGGCTTAGTGAGTTACCACCAAAATACCAACGCCATAAAACATATCAATAACATATAAACAAACAGCATGCAATATGAGCCTTCAGCCTGAGTGGACCGCCTCCCAGGCCTTCAGCCTATCTGGACCGCTCTCCGAGCCTTCGGCACGTGTGGACCGCCTGCAGGGCCTACAGCCTATCCGGATCGCTCGTCGGGCCTTCGGTCTAACTAACATGCCCTCCTGGGCCCGTAGTTTATCCGGACCGCCCTGGGTATGTTGTCCTTCAGCACAAAGCAGGACCGCCTCAACCCAACCCCCAATCAAATAAACATGTGCACATAATATCATATGCTAGCATATATAACAGTCAAACCGATATAATAGATCATCAATCATAGCAACATCCTATAACCAGGATACAGACCTAACCGGTCACTAACATAGAATCATCCTATATACCAGGATACCGACCTAACCAGGTCACTAACATAGCATCATCCTATATACCAGGATACCGACCTAACCAGGTCACTAAGAATATCATCATCCTACCAGGATGTAAATCAATAAGAATATCATGCAATAAACCCGAATACAAATCCGATAAGGGTCGGCATTGGTACCTTAGACCCTGTTGATATAGTAAGGAGAACTCACCTCGCAAGTAGCTCGAAGTGATAAAGTCAAACTCCTCCAAATGCAGCTCCAAGTCCAACACCTACAACCACCGGTGATCCTTTTCCATAAATTCCCAATTACCAAAATGCCCTCAGAAGTCAAACTGGTCAACCCTTGGTCCAAGTCAAAGTCAAAGGTCAAGGTCAACAGTCAATGTTGACCTGACTCGTCGAGTGCAATATACTGAATCGCCGAGTTCCTCCAGAACTTACATAGTCATACACCCTAGTCGACTCGCCAAGTTTCCAGGCAACTCGTCGAGTTCAAGTGTGTCTAAAAGTTGGGAAAACCCCATCTGACTCGTCGAGTGGTCTCACTGACTCACCGATTCCATGCAGAAACCATCCTCAGGCAATCTTCATCCGACTCGTCGAGTTGACCATGCAACTCGTCGAGTCCCTGCAGTCCATTACCCATTCAGACGATTTTAAGCAACCCAAAGCTCCAAATTGTAGATCTATCTTCCTAAGGCACAGATTCCACGTAAAGTTGCAAACTTTACGTGCATGCAAGGTCTTAAAGGCTTAGAACCACCAATACCAAGTCTAGAATGAGATTTATGATAAGA